GCTGATATTTCTCTCCAGGATGGAGTCACAGCCAAACAGGAACAGAGCAGATGAAGCTACTATGAAAAAAGCAGAGAAAGCAGAACGTTAGAGATTGAACTAACAGATTCTGCAGAGCGGGAAAATAGAGATAGAATGAAGCAGAATGATTAAAAAGGGGTAACTATGTCCAGACCACGTTATATCCAGTGGAGGAAAGTAATAAAGTACATTTACTTGATTACTGTACTTAAGTATGTTTTTGAGCATTTTTACTTTACTTTTTTTTTTTTTTTGGTGGGGTACTTATAACTTTCACTCCACTACACTTCGACGTCAAATTTTATACTTTCTACTTCACTCAATTTCTAGGAAGCTGCTGTTAAATAGTTACTTTTGGCTCAGCTAAGTTTGGTAATCCACTGTTTCTGTTTTTTTTTCTTGAAATGCAATTTCAAAATGCAAGATAGCAGCCTTCATGACTTCATTTGGACGCCACTGTTTTAATGAGAGAAAGTCAGGGCAGATGTTATGTTACCCTATAGCGTTAGCTGTAACCATGTGACCAAGTTGTTCAGATGACATCTCAAATCAGAGTTGTAGTTTGTTTGTGGTAATAGATTCAACATTAAACCTCTGTTCAATAGTCAACGTTTAAGGAGAATCAAGACTCTCCTGTTTTATTTTTGCTTTGTTTTTAAATGAGAGCTTTCTTTATTTTTTATGGCATTCTTATGCTGAAGTCCTTTACAGGTGGTGTAGAATGAGCAGCAGGTGGTTCTACGCATCATTACATCAAGGGGTTTCTGAAAGTTATAAAGTTATTTAAAATCGCTCTGAAATGTATACAGAAAAGTGCTGATATTAGAACATTTGATTTATTTGTCCATTTTTTTCCATGTAAAACCATGTTTTTGTTAAAACAACAAAAAGAAAGGAAAAAATAGATTAATTCAAAGTGGAAGGTAAAATCAAGGTATAAAATTCAGAAAAAAAGGGAAACAACATTTTCATATTTAATTGGATGTAACCTGGGGATACACTCTTTTATACCTTTCAGAAAATTATAATGGACCCATCCTCCTCGTTCCATATAGGGCTATAACAGTCAATTGGAGCGCCCTGCGCGTCAAATATTGAAAGTTCTACCCATTGCGTTGGTATGGGACGCAGAGAGAGCCTGAGCAAGAGTCCAAATGTCAAGAGTTGGGAGTGAGAATGTGTTGGAATATTTTGAAAACTGAGTACTTCAATACTTCAACTTGAGTAGATGTTTGACCGAGTGATTTTTAAAGGAAAAGTCAGCTCATATTCAGAATTCAAACTTCTGAAAGTACTTTAGATATTTAATTATTACATACTGTTCAATAAATGATAAGTATTTTTAATTAAGAGTAATTTTGATTTCATTGTGCTTTACTGGAGACATCCATGTTTGTCAAAGAACACTACTGCCACCTACTGGTTTGTGACGTCACAGTGCGGTATCAGCTGTTGATCAAGTCCCAGTGCTGTATCTGGTGTTTGTGTTGGCTACATTGGCAACATGTTTTTTTCTCTGGCCAGAGGTTCGATGGCAAATCCTCCCTCTTCAAGTTGGCAATCCAACGACGAACCCGTCTGTGGAGGATTGTGAATCCCAAAGGTGAAATGACTAATTTTTGATTCACTTTTACCCGATGTATTGCAAAATCCAACTTTCCTGGACGTGGGCATTGTCAGTTTAACTATAGCTCTGGTGAATTTCAATGGTGAAGTCCTCTGGAAATCTTCAATAATTGTTGTTGATTGCAGATGTGTCTAGTAGTTCCTATTGACTTTGCTTGTAAAGTGGGAAGAATGGCTCTTGGCTTACCGCACCGTGACGTAACTGAAGATGTCAGGAGTGAGGTGTTACTGAGAGTGAGGTGTTGGGCAAAAATGGCCACCCTCAGACTAAGTTATCGCAACAAATATATATATATATATATACTGATTAACGCTAAATTCATTAAATCACTGCAAATGTATTAGTTTTAGTTATAAATAATGATCCATTGATTATTCCTTGCCGACCGGACTCTTCCTTTAATTGTAGTTGAATAAGATTTTACTAATAGTATCAAGTACTACTATTGAATACTTCGTCCACCACAGTGGAGATTATTTTACTCCATAGATCTGAATGGACGTGTACACGGACGCAAATCGGAACGGCAATTGGAAGAAAGCACCTCTCTCATTCAGAATTAAATTTCTTTCCAAATTCAAATTTTATTGAACAATATTTCAAACTATGGTAGAAAACTTTAGAAAGCAGCAAGTGAGCTTTACAAATCGTTTCTCTGCCTTATTAAGTGCTGAACTCACTTTTAGCTGTTCTTCTCTACGCGCGCGCGCACGTGCGTGCGTGCGCACGCTCACCCGCTGCCACGGAAACGGAGCGCGTCTCTAAACGTCGCTGCCATTTTTGACCGCTACTTTCTAACCTGGAGGTTGAACTTGCTGCAGTCTGCGCTTTGATACCTGCCAAAGATGACTATCCCATCGGAGGAGGACACCTGTTTGGAGAATCACCTGGAAGGTTTATGTTTACTCTTTTGTTATGTTAATTTAAAAAAAAAATGTAACGTAAAAAATTATAAGACATTTTTAAAAATTCATGAAGTTGTGACTGCTAGCATCTGTGACATCTCAGAGATCAAAAGTGTTTTTAGTCGACTTAATTTTTACAGAGATACGGAAAAAAAACAATTTGTGTTTAGGAGAAACATCTTTGTTGAATTTTATGTGAAATGTTTAAAAACTACATGGGATAGGGCTATGATTTTTAAAAAATGCCCTGAAAATATGTTAGCTCTATATGGATATGTTGGTGAAATGACATCAAATAAATATAAAACGACTTATAAAGGACATTTAACATGATATATTATCAAGCCAAACTGTTTATTTTTTGTATTTAAAAAAAGAAAAAAAAGGATATTTTTGAGTATGAGATATAATGATACCAAAAAAAAACAAAAACAAATTTTGGTTTCAGAGAATAATGTTTGATGAATTTAATGTGGAAATGATTGAAAAAGTACAAAAAATATATATTTTAGGATAAAACGTTTTTTTTGAATACATTGGAACTTGAAAAGGACGGTATTTTTTAAATTTTTAAAACATGCTGTGGTAAACATATTGGTCTCCATGGATACCTTAGTAGAATGCATTAAGCAACTTTTTATGGCAAGGGCTTAGGTTTGATTTCAACTTTGTTAGGGACACTATTGGTCTGATGACATTGGTCCTTTGCAAAAATATGCTTAATGTGAGCATCAGGGCACATTTTGTTCAAAGAGAACAGCAGCATTTCTTGCTACATTCATACAAATCTTAAAAATAAACAGTTTGGCTTGATAATATATCATGTTAAATGTCCTTTATAAGTCGTTTAATATTTATGCTGTTTATCCATGTTTAAAGCATCACTGGCTCTAATGAATGTGGAATTAGGACGTTTTTTCACTTTAAAAAAGTTTGCATTTAAACTTACCAGCGACTAAGACAGTGCCTATTTAACCAAACATAGTCCAAATGTGTCTTTTATATGTGGATTTATCCTGTTTTCTTATGAAGATATAGAATTGTGCAGAGGTTAACCCACCCTTATTTTTTTTATCTAATATGCGCTCTATGGATCATGCAAAATAATGCATTCAAGGGACGGTAAATAAATGTATTATATTTACGTGTGCACTGGAACCATAATAGGAACTGACACTGACATTTAAAATATTAACTTCACTATACAAGTTTTACAAATGGGCTGTAGTTACTCTGTGTAGCCCATTTCATGTATTTTATCTAGGGCTGAAAATATTAATCATATTAATCAATCATTTAAATATTCGTAAACTAATTTAGTAATTGAATAATCATTAACTGGAGTATAGGGCCACTAAAATGTGCTTTTAGCCGACAGAGCAACACACTTCAAGCAGGACTTATGACAAGATTGTAAAAAATATGTAAACATTTTGCATTTAACATTTTGCATAAAAGTTAGATAAGCTGAGGTTCTGATTCTGCAAAAATTATAGATCTGAGATTTAAAGCCTGTTTTTAAGCCCTTATTCTGTTAATTAGGATCATTTTCTGCTTATAGTAAATAAACTTCAAAGATTTATGATTATATAACTAAATCAGCCAGGGTTAGGGTTAGGGTTCAAATCTATTTCTAATTTAGTAGTATGGGTTTAATGGAAAAAAATGTTTCCTGACTATTTAAAATGTCCTTTAATCTGAACTAATCTAAATGCATACTCTAGGTTAGTAGTTCCCAAAGGGGGGTGCATGCCCCCTAGGGGGAGCAGAGTCTAATTGCAGGAAATGTAGTAGAAATAAACTAAATAAATGGACCATTTATTTATTGATAATATTCTGAAAATAAATTCTAAACTCTATTAAACGGTGAAATAAATATTTACATGTAAAACAAACTTACAATTTAATGGTAGACTTGTGATTTGAAAGATATTGTAGTTTTTTCAGCAAGATAGCTGGTGAGGACCAGCAAAATGTCCTCCCTTTACAACAATTGGTCCTCGGTGGGATGGTTAAATCAGAAATATGGTCCTTTTTTTTTTTTTTTTTCAGCTAACAGATCGATGTTCTTATTGATTAAATCTACTTAAACCTGACAAACTCACACAGGCACATCCTGCAACCTAAAATAAAGCATTTATTTATTTTTCTATTTTATGTTCCTTAATTAATGTTCCTGGTCTAATGTTTTTCCTCACAGCTCCAAAAGCCCTGCTTCCATCTGATCCTGCCCCAGAGCCCCGGTTCTGGATCCAGGATCAGGGTAATTTCAATTACCGTAATAATATTATCTTTAGAAGACTGAGGATAAGGATGAGGAGGTTGAGGAGGAGGAGAGACTTGTACCCGATTGCGGAGGAGGTGATAGAGGAGGAGGAGGAGGAGGAGGAGGAGGAGGAGGAGGAGGAGGAGGAGGAGGAGGAGGAGGAGGAGGAGGAGGAGGAAGCTGTTGCTGATGATGCGGATGAAGAGGAGGAGGAGGAAGCTGTTGCTGTTTATGTAGATTATGGGGAGGATGAGGAGGAGGAAGCTGTTGCTGATGATGTAGATGAATTGGAGGATGAGGAGGAGGAGGAAGCTGTTGCTGAGAATGTAGATGAAGTGGAGGATGAGGAGGAGGCAGAGGTCGAAGCACAAGTTGTAGAGGAGAATGAGGAGCTGGAGATGCAGGATTTTGAGGATGTAGAGGTTGAGGCTGAGGAGGTTAGGTCTTTTTCTGGCGAGTCTCCTGAGGTGTCTAGTGAGTTCTCCGGGTATGACACCACAAGCTCTGAGGATGAAGATGATGAAGAGGAGGACCACCTTCCACCACATCTGCAGTCCACCCAGAGGATTTCCCCCGACTTAAGATTCCCATGGAACCACGAGGAGCCAGAGGAGTCCCCGGAGTGCCAAGAGGTCCACGTCTCCAGGAAGAGGAGAAGAGAGGAAGACGAGGAAGATGATGAAGACGAGGACCACCTTCCACCACATCTGCGGTCCACCCAGAGGATTTCCCCCGTCTTAAGATTCCCATGGAACCACGAGGAGCCAGAGGAGTGCCAAGAAGACCGCGTCTCCAGGAGGAGGAGAAGAGAGGAAGATCCTGAAGAGGAGCTCCCTGGGAAGAGGCCATGTCATGAGAGGGATGTTTGAGAAAATCATATCATCAAGAACCTTCCTTTAACTCCTTCAACTACTTCTAATGATGAAGAGAAGATGAGGATTTAGCAGAGGAACCAAACCTTCACCATCTTCCTTTGGATCATCTTGTAAGAGAAGCTGGATGTATTTTCTTGCTGATTTGATGATGAGTGAAGGTGGAAAGGCTGAAAGACTGGAAACAGTCACACATAGATAGAATTTATTGATGGTTTTTACATCTGGCAGGTCTAGGGATGCCTTAGGTAGCGACTTGCTCCGTGGCTTTTCTTTACCCCGCTGCTAGATTTAGTTTCTTAGATGTTAAGGAGTCTGGCAGGTCTAGGGATGCCTTAGGTGGCGACTTGCTCCATGGCTTTTCTTTACCCCGCTGCTAGATTTTGATATAAGTTTTAGATGTTAAGATTTTCCTTTAGCACAGACATCTGAGCAGACTCTAAGGACTTGAGAGACCCAGAGACCAGTTCATCAGTTGAAATGGTCTCTGTGATGTTGGTTAGAAGGCAAAGAGATGATACTTGGTGGGAATACTTGATTGCAAACCAGTTTGAGGCAGAGGACTGCTTTCAGCTGTGAATTGATCTAGTTCTAGATGTTCTAGATGTTCCTCTGGTCAGTTAGTTTTCAGGCCTAGTTTGAGGGAAAGAAACCTCCATATGTTCAAGGCCTATTCTGACCGCAGTGGATCTCTTCTGTTTTTTGAATCCTATGTTGGACCGAGCCGCTACAAGGTTTGGGCCTTCAGAAGATGCTGATGAGATCTACAGCGACCTAACCAGAGGAGGATCACCTGATCTGCTGACCTTTACAAAAAGTGAGAGCATGTCCAGTATGGAGAAACAATAATCCATCATTAAAGTCAACATTTCAGGTTGCCTCACTTAGTTTTTTCATGTCTGTTCAGATACCTTGGACGTCCAAAAGCAGAGCTCCTGTGAGGAACCGGGACATCCAGGATGGTGAGGAGTTTCCCTGTCCCCACCTGAGGACGGGACAGAGAAAGACTGGAACAGAAAACATGTGGAGTAAGCCTTTATTAACATGAACTCAAGCTTTCCAGACCATTAAAAACAGTTAGTAAAACACAGAAAGACCAAGATTACTATGAAAACAACATCCTGCCCCAGATTTAAAGTTGGTGTTGAGGAAATTCTGCAGATTAATTTGGCTTCTTTTTGCAGGGAAAGCGGGTTGAACATGGAAGCAGTGTTCTAGCAGCCGGATAGCATTGGAACAGAGTCCATCCACACGTGTTTGGAGGTATGTTGGTTGTTGTCTGACTAGAGAGGCATCACATGCAGACAGTTTAAGACTCTGATGACGCTTTGATTTCATTGATGAAGGAGCTGAAGAAGAAGATGGAGTACATAGACCGCTAAGGAGGAGAAACATGGCTCCTCTATTTGTCTCCAGCATTCTGGTGTCCTGGACTGAAAGACGGTGAAGACCCTGCAGCTAAACCATCAGTCTGCTACACCCAGTGAGAGAAGGTAACAAACCTTTATTGCTTCCAGATGTTAATCAGTATTAGTGAAGACACTTGAAACAGACCCAAATGGGGATTAAATGCAGAGGTTAATTTCTCCAATGTGAGATCAATAAAGTTCAATTATTATTATTATCCCATCAAGGTGGTCTAACCTTTAATCATTATCTTTTCATCTTAAATAGATGTTCACCTAAATTTGTATCTCTGTAACCAAACCTTTACCAGAACCAGAAGTTCTGACTTTTCCATTAGACCACAGATAAACAGTAAAAGCGGATTAGAGGACCGCGGTTCGGATCCAGACCCACCTGCTGGCTAATCTGGACCCAACCTGATTTAAAACATTTATAAATTACTGTATGTTGTCCGACAACAGTGTTTAACCCCGAAATCCCACATCGTCCATCTCCGCTCCAGACCTCCTGCGCAAAGCAAAGCCTACAGCCTCCGCTGTTCCTCTTGTCATCCTCCACTCATACTTTCTCTGAGGTCAAGGAGAGCATGCGCTATATTATTATTAAATTCAGGCGCAAAACATGCGGAAATGAACGCTTAATTTAATATGACAGGAAATTGTCTCTATGCCAAAACTGAATGATTTTTGTTCTTTACTTCAAAAAACACTTTAGAATTTAGAATGGAACAATTTTCTATTTTCTTTTATATTTTTTATTTAAAAGTTCAATGTATAACACGGATGCATAAAAACCTCATTTTATTTCTGTGTTAAATTCTGTTTAAGATAACAGATTATAATTAAAAATGTCTCCGGACCTTTAGTGGTTGATGATTTTCTTTATTCGGACAACACTGATTTTTAATTGGTTACCCAGGTGTATGGAAATCTTATTTAAATTTAAAATAATTCTGGCTTAAACATGTATATTAATGTACTCTTTATCAGACCATATTGTCCCAAAATTTAGAAAATTTCTATTTAAAAAAACAAATCCTGTCTTAGAATTATCTTATGCAGGCCAGTTAGTTATACGTCATTCTGAACACATAAATTCAGCCATTCATATGTCAACGGTCATCGCTCAATCAAATTTTTTTGGTCATAGCATCTTGATTCATATGTCGCAGCTAATATATGCAACAGTTGAAATAAGAGTCATTCCTTGAAATCCGTCCCAGTGTTCACGGGGATGGACGTCTGTGTCTTCAGCAGGCGTAGAGCTAACAGAACTGGTAGCGTTGCGAGGCAAGGGCTCAAACATGTACGGCTGTAAGCCTTCTATACCAAACCAAGCTTCTGCCGCCCTGGTGTCCTTTTCCACAACATCTTCGTCCCCACTTTCCTCCTCTAAATAAAAAATGTGTGACGGAGGAAACTTATCCATGACCTCTGACACAAAACTCTCCTCCTCTTGCATGTTTCTGCTGTCCATAGCGTTCCTTGACAGTGTCGTTTCTAAGTCACCAATTAAGTGCTACTTGTTCCCAATGTAATTTCTCATTGGGAACCTACTAGCACTAAGTTGCTAACTGGTTAGCAAGATGCTTCCGAGACACTGGCCACAATTAAACTTGCTTGCAAACCTTCCGCCACAACAATCCCGCCCTCTTGATAATCGGCCAATCACATTTACTTTAGAATAGAATTCAACTGTCACAAGTACAGCAACTAAATTAATTATCTTCATTTAACCCACCCCCTTGGGGAGCAGTGGGCTGCCATTGTGCGGCGCCTGGGGAGCAGGGTCTTGCTCAGGGACCCAGAGTGGCAGTCTGTAGGAGTGGGGGATCAGACTCACAACCTCAGGATTCAAAGCTCTATGCCCTAACCACTAGGCCGACATTCCCCTGTGTAACGTTGTGCACCACTCGGGAGAATTCAGAAATGCAACGGTTGGAACAGCCGCTTCCCTACGACTTTAAGAAGCAGCTTCTAATCCAATATGGGAGGATTTCGCCCTGGTTGAACTTTGAAGGTTTTTTTTTACAACTTATTAAAGCAGAGAAACTACCCTGATAAAACCGAATGAAGACTCCAACAAATCAGCAGCATTTTCTCCAAGCATCTATTTTCTACAGTTATCGCTGCTGTTAACTTTAGGTTCTCCCTGTGCTTTTTCCTCTTCTCTAGGTTAATTTACGCCTCTCCCTGTGTTTATGTGTTTAAATGTCACAGACATTTAACTAACTCCTGTTCTTCTTTTCCACATAATTTCAGCTTCTCCTTGGACCGGAGCCTCTGTTTGTTGGACGTCTGCTGTCTCGTTAAAGACCCACTCGGCCACAGTGGAAGGGCGCTGACATGGAACTTCCTGCTTCCTGCTTAAAGCTAGTTTTCCTCTGCTGTCACCGCTTCATTGCTCAGGAGGAGGGACTGCTGCAAAATGAACGATTGGATGTGATTGGCTGAGCTTCCTTGGATTAAAGACGTTCCTCTAAACGCCATATTAAACTGGATTTATCTTTATGATGTTGTAAATAGGATCTAACCAGATGTCTGTGATTAATTTGATATTGTTTGTGTTGATTTCTGTTACTTGTTTCTGTATTAAAGCTGTCATGTTAATTGCCTTTAGATTACATTTCCTTCTGTTTTACAAGACTGAATTATAATAAATCCCCCTACCGGGTCTGTTTCTGTTAAAGTATGATTCTGTCACCTGTTATTTCTCACTATAATAAAGGTTTGATGCATGTTGCGTGAACAAGATCTGTTTGTCTTTTTTGTAAATTTGTTCTTTATAAATAAACCAAACTGAAGTCAACTTGAGCAAGAGTTATGACTATAGTACAGCGCTTAAGCAGGTTTTTTATTATTTCTCTGTCGGGGGGGACTGACCTGACAGCTCATTTTAACTGAATGTTTTCTTGTCACCTTGCGGTGTCGGAACAAATTAGCTCTACGAAAGGACAGTGAGACGTTCCTCCTGCAGTTCTTCTGATTTTATTTACCTTATAGACAATCTGTGACACATCAACACTAAGCCAACAAACAAAAATGGGAGGATAATTAAAGATGAATGTAAAAATAAAGCATTAGTAGGAACTAAATGTTTAGCGAATCCAAAGGCAAACAGCTTAATATTTCCGGCTCTATATTCTATCAGACAAAAAGGGGAAATGGATTTAAATGGATTGATGATCCTAAACTCACATTTAACTGGTTTTGGAATAAATAAAGCAGCTTAAAATCAACATCTGGAACCTCGGCCCTTGTTCTAATTTTTTTGTGTAATCCAATTCTTTTGCGTGGTTGATCACATTTCCAAATATGTAATCTCCTGTGTGAACTGCAATAATGGTAAATGATAAATGGCCTGTACTGATATAACGCTTTTTCAAGTCAGGAGACTTGACCAAAGTGCTTTACACTACATTCAGTCACTCCCGCATCCATTCACACACTGATTCATACATCTTAATTGTCCCGCATCAAATCCACACTCCAATAAAAAATCTGAATTAGTATAAGATTAATGAATATCAACAACATCAATTACAATAGGAACATGGAAATGACTGAACCTTCCTCTAAGATCTCAGGGAAAATAAAAATAAACTCAGTTCAAAGTCCAAAATGGAAACTACCCTTGAGTGCACTCAAAATTAAAATTGTCCAAAACAAGGATGTTCATAGGAGCGTCTGTGGTGCTGTTAGTAAAGAAGTCCTGGGATGAAGGAACAACCTCCAGGAATCCAGATCCAAAAGGAACCTTTAATAAAAAGAAACAGTCAACAAAAAATGTATAGGAATAAACTATTACTATTCATTAATGTCCATGTTTCATTTATTCTACTGGCTTACTGTTCTTTTTTTATAGTTAATTTATATATATAGCTTGTTGTTACAATAACAGAAAATACAGCAGAGTTGAAATCGACTACCTTCAAAATCAGGTGTATAAATTAAATAGTGCAATTGGCTTCTGGCAACATCACATCTGGAATAAACAGCACTTTTTAATGTAGACATGTCTACAGCTGTGCGAGAATGTTCTACACGTAAAGAAAAACATACAGAAGGAATATTACCATTTTTAAAGCAATTTCTGATGCTCTTTCCATACAAGCATGGGGAATACTATGGCTTGTCCTCCTGTAAACTTAGATGTCCATGGTTTAAAGCTCTGCTCCAGCTTACCTTCAGATCTACCTCCTTCAGCAAAGCCTGAAATATTTCTGGTTCCATAATTTACCGGTTGGAAAATAACCTGAAGACCAGGGCTGGTCTCAATTTTGAATAACTTTTAATTAAGAATTAATTTTCTATAGAAAGTAAATATATATATAAATAACAAAAAAATATATTCAAATAATTTATTGTCCCTGCTGTATTAAGTACTGACTGAATAAACTGAAGCTGTGGGTTTTCCTACACATTATAAAAAATATAAAAATATGATAAAACAGAAAACTCATTGTGCTACCAAATAAATGAAAAAATAAAATGAATAGAATAAAAATGTGAAACACTGATAATCACCCATGAATAGAGATGTCAAATACCATTTAAAAACAGAATATGCCTCCTTCCTGTTTGAGAAGCAGAAGCTAACTATGATTCACAGCGAGGATGCCCCAGTAGATGTTTGGAAATGCTGCATAATGTAAAACATAAAGCAAGTTTTAAAGAACATGAACTTTTAACAGCATCCACTCTGTCTAATCATTACCGGCACCAATAAACTGCATCTGATCAAATCAAGACACTGTGGAAATGTGCTGAAGTCCAAAGGATGGTTATTCCTTTGCTGAAGCTCCATCTGATCATCACATCCTCCACATCATCTGCCGACATCCCTTAAAAACAACAAAGCCATGCAATGGCAGCCCACTGCTCCCCAAATACGAAGAGTGAAACAATAAAGGAATTTACTTTTTTTGTTTTATATATATAAATAAGGTATTTGGACACACCAAAATGTCAGCGATAAACCTGCTTTTTAATTATAGCACCCACAACTGTGATCCATGGCATCTTGGCCTAACGGTTAGATACCAGAACTACTCTTATTCCAGGATTTTCTTGGGAATATTATTCATAAATGGCTTCTTTGCTTCCAGCAAACCATAGTGTAATTGTTTGCCTTGCCTATTTTACACACACGTTGACAATATGTCAGATAATAAACAATCAGGTTTGCAGTAGAATCTCCATCAAGCACAGAGAGGAGAAACATCTGATGCAAAATGTATTTTTATTTTCATGTAAGGTAAAAAAATATATATTTAAATGTTCTTAGTACAACAAAAGAACCTGTGGCATTTTGTTTTATTTCTTCTTTAAATAAGATTAGCCCTCTCATGCAGCCAGAATACAACAGTGACTAAGACTGAGGCCAAGGGTGGAGAAGTAGGAGATAAATCCTGCTGCAGGTTTGTGTTCACATAATTGCATTGCTAAAAACCATCACTGCAGATTAAATAGGAAAAAGAAGCTTTCTAAGATGAATGGGTTAAAAGGAATACGGCAGCAATTTATTTCTTTAAAGCCTTAATATGAAAGCGGAGCAATACGTCTTGGGTCCTTAGATTCACTCAGCTTATTATTCATAAGAAGCAGCAATAATTCTAAACATAACATGGATTGTATTTTCTAAAACTGTCAAACATCAGTAGAGCACAACATTCCTTGAAAAAATAGTCACTAAAAAATATCTTGTAGATATAGATATCTATATATAGAGCACTCCTTTAGTACCATTGGCTGACAAACATACTGTAAGAGGGCCTTTGATTGTCTTTTATTTAAATATAAATTTATGCGAGTGATTTTTTTTTTTTTTTACCGACAAGCAATTGCTACAAGACAGAAATCCGGCCCAGAGGCGGAATACTTGAATCCCTGAGGACCATTACTTTCTCCAATACATTTAATTATTTTGACTTTTCCAGAAACTTCAGAGCACACGGGGTGGGGGCTCATCAGTTGCTTGATCAGTTGGAGTTTTTATGTTCAATATTTACAATAAATGGATTAGAGCAACACCTACATTAAATTCAAATCTACATTCAATTCCTACTGCTAAAAAACTTTGCCTGTTGCATCCTCGATGAACCTGAGGACAAAAGCTCAAATTGATCATTAAACGTCCACAAATAATTCATTCTTGTAACCCTTCACTGTAATTTCTGGGGAAAATGTAAAAAAAAAAAAAAAACACCAGACAATTGGAGGAAGTTCCAATTTTATTGTGGAAGTGAATGAATAAGGCATACCACAAAAACCTACAGGCTTGTTGGCCACATGTACAGGATTTAATAATTGTGAAAAGCAAAATTTCAAACAAAAAACATTACTTTTTTTTTTTATAGCAATACATGACATGGTTGTATTCTCTATTGGTAGCTCGCATAAAAGTTAATGCAGATGACATATAAACAATATAATACACAGTTTGCTACAGCATTAACACTGTGGTGAACTGAGGGAGGTGCTGCCCCCTGTTGGACAGGAATGAAACGATACACAGAGCTCCTCTTCTGACATTCCTCCTCCGTACACCTCCTTTAGGATTTCTTATATTCGATTCTCTCCACCTTGACATCGTCTACGATCAGCTGATATACATATGTCACCACTGTGGATGCTTGGATGTCCATTAGTACAAAAGAAGGGATAATGTTTCTGAAACACACAAAACATTAGATATGTTACACCTAAAAGATTAACAGCTACAATGGAAAAATGCAGGTAATAGAACCTGGTTTATTAATATCTATGTTACATTTTAGAGCTATTATCTCTAAATTTAACATTTAATGTGGTTTAATCTATTTCTATAGTAATTAGGGTTTGGTATTAGGATTTTCTAAGCCAGATTATGTGCTAACTGGGTTCAGTAGAGATCCAAGTCACATTATACTTTAACTGGGGTTGAGACAGACTCCTTTACAGCTGCCTTTTCTTTTTAATCCATCGCATCGCAAAAAGAAGCCCAAATAATTGCAGTAATTCCTCTTAGCTCTGTAGCGCAGCAGCATGACACAGAGCCAACCTCTGACATCTGTCAGACTTTAGGGTCATGTCAATTTTTAATGGATGACTGAGATAAATGTGTAAATTTTCTAACACCAACTGGATCCACTGTCTAACTTATATGGTTTCAACCTGAATGTTGGAACTGATCCCAAGATACTGGATAAAATAATGTAAAAAAAGAGGGACGTTTTCAATTTTGGACCAGATTCTTTAAAAAAAATAAAATAAAAAATAAGTAGGTTTCACATATATTAGAGGTCTAATCACAGTTACCTTTCCAGTGCGTTGTAGGCCCCGGTAGCAGAGCCGGGGTTGATGTAAAACTTGTTTTCGTTCTCGAAAGCCTCAAACTTGTGTGTGTGTCCCGAGATGAGGATGTCAACATCCAGCTGTCTCTGGAGCAGCGCCAGGCTGGCCATGTCGCCCCAAGGGATGACCTGGTGGCCGTGGATGAGACCAATTTTGAACTGGCCCACTGTGACCACCTTCTGCTCTGGGTAGTTCAGGTTCTGTGAAAACAACATGGAAACGAAGGAGATCATGAGCAGTGTTTAGCCTCTGAGCTTTGATTTTAAGTGAAAATCAAGTAAAGAGCTCAAATTTAACCAGAAAAAACTCTGAAATCAATTAAATATTGTCTCCCTCTGTTATTTACAGAAGTGATAAGTGAACTTTGCAAAAAAATGTTTTGTGGAAATTTGAAAAAAAAACACGTTTTGTACATAAAATTCTGAAAAAGAAAAAAGCAATCATGAGATTTATGTTTGAATATCATTTTAATAA